CACCTAATAATAAGTAATGTTAAAGAATACAATAACATTACTTATTATTAGGTGTATGTATTAAAGAATACAATAAATAGTTTTACTCTGACTATGGAAACTGAGTTACGATTTTCAATAAGTTCTAAAAAGCATGTAAAATGGATCATATGATTGTATTTTTGCGTAAAATATTCTCATTAACTTTTTAACCTTACATTAAAAAAACAAGTCACAAACTTTAAAAAAATTTGTTATTTTCAAAGAGCACAACAGGTTTTCCAGTATTTTTTTAGGTTAGGTCATCGTCTATGTGTCTTGACTTCATTTGTTTTGTATTAGAAAAGTAGTAACGTACGTATTAAAAAAAAAAATCACACGTGCTGACTGAAACATCTCCAGATAAGAAATAGGAGATACCTACCTTAGTTTTCATCGTTTTAAAATATATAGTGTGGCAGTGCTGCCAAGTGTGTAACTTAGTAATGTATTAATCAATCCATGATTAAAGACTACCAAAATTCTTTTTTGCAAAGCACTGAGACATCTCTGCAGAGCAATTACCTCTGTCAAATCTTATATAAATTGTCTCATCGTTATTTTAAACACTAAGAAAGACTGAATTGCTTACTATATTGTACATAAGCAATCAATCATTAAATTTACTATGTGTTGACCTTCTTTACTTATTATTTTATATAAGAACCAACGGAAAATTCTCCCTCAACCATTCAATGCTTTATAAAGCAAAACTACGTTTACAATCAACTGTCAGCACCAAAAGAAAGCACCTACCTCTCACCTTTCCGTAATAAGTTCTGATAAAAGCCTTTTTAATAACAATTTTTTTTGCACACTCGCTATATCTCTGTGAAGTAAGTTCCAAAGTTTTTTTTTATGTAAGGCATTACTAAATAATGTAAAAACTTTCACGTTAAATCAGTTTTTAAACTTATTTTATTACACAGCCCCACAAAAAAAAGTTGCGGTACTTTTAAAGAGAAACATGTCTTCCTATGGGTTTTGAACCACTGATTCCGAATTTAAAGTCAAAACAGCACCTTCCACGATCAGTTTTTGAGATAACCTTAAAAACCTAATTTTTGAGTACATGATTGAAATACGTGGTTTTTATTTGGAGCTTGCACAGCTGAATTAAAAAATAAAGTCACATTTTCAGAAATACTGATAACTTAGCAACATAACCTTTAAAGAACAGTATTAACTCTTGTTTGTAATTATTTAAGTATTACAGTATTGTAATTATTTAAGTTACACTGTACACTTGTAGATTTTGAGGCGTGGAACCTGGAATGTTCAGACAAAAAAAATTAAGTATGGTTAATTAGACTTATGTTTTTTTACGTATTCAGAGTCACTAAATTTGAGACTTAAGAAAAAATTTTGTTTGTCATGACTAGCTTTTGACATAACCTCAAAAAACTTCATTATTGAATGTGTGATGAATAAGCATGTATTGTAAGAATTTACAGCTACTGAATTAAGAACCTAACTGAGTAAAGTAATATTGATAAAAATTTAAAGAAAGTTGTCAATAAATTTTTTGACAGCAATTCGTAAAATAGCATCATCATTTTATACATACATTCTGATTGTCGCAACCTTGTTTTTAAGTCAGATCAATATAACGAATGAATTTCTGCAGATTTTTTAAAATACTTGCACTCTTCTTTTAATATTTTTATTGAAAACTCTTTTTGTTTATACATTTTACTGAATAAAATTTTCTATTTTCACTCCCACTAATCATGCTTTCGATCCACTAACATAATTTATATTACAACGTTTACAACATGACATTTATTTTTTATGGAATTAGACCTCAAACCACGGTAGGAGTTATCCATATACTTTACATTCAACAACATGATTACTCCCACTACAGCCACCAACCAACGCTACAAGCTGTTTGGAGTAGAATGACCGACAACAAACCAAAAAATTCCCAACTCAAACAATATAATGACATAAACACGATGTACACACAGAGTGGTAGTATATGAGCCTACAGCATTTTCAGCATATGCTATCTACATACTTATCCTTGTGGTTGTCCTGATTGTTACTTCTACTTTTAAGAAATTTGTTTGCTGATTTTTTTTTCTTACAACAAGCTTGCTTCAGATGCCCTTTAATATTGCAGAACTTGTAAGTAAACCTTTAACAGTTAAAATTCCTTTTACCTTAACCGTATTTACTATAGCACTTTCTTTAGTTGCTGCATACGCTAGAGATTTATTAAATGTAAGATCTGTAAATTTAAATAGATCTACTCATGTTCTACTTTTTCGTATCCCACAGAAAAACTGATCTATAGGTGCCTTGTTTAATCCTGCATAATTTTTCTCTACAACGAGCTTATTAAGCGGGGTGGCAAAATCTACAATTGACTCGTTTTGTTATCATTAAAAATCATAACTAACAAGAAAAAGCTGGAAAAATTTTAATGCGCAGCATTTTTTTGGAAATTGTCAAAACGATCGTCTTTTATGATAGCTTTTCTGACTAAGTAATTAATTTTACAACTTATATCCGCATAAAAAGCGAGGTTCGTTTAGCGAGTACTTCATATATTAATTTACATATAAGACTTTAAGAAGATTTGGAAGTTTTAGCGTGAAAATATAGAAGAGTGCAAGGATTCATCCACCAAGTGGATGAGATTGGGAATGATAATAAAATCTATTGACACACATGGTGAGCAAACTTAGCGACTCAGTCCCCCCAGTAGTTGTAAAATCAGAAGCTAATACTGTCTACTTTTAATGTTTCCAATCACTCAATTTGAATTCGTCGTTTAGTAAATGAACATTCAATAGACTTAAAAATTTTGATAAAAAGAAAAATTCGAGACGATTCATTAATTTTACCCAAAAATGACAAAAGCGCAATTATCCAAGATTTAAGCTTACACTAGCCATAACTTTAGACTAAACTAATATTTCCGACTCAACCATTTAAAAACCTTCTCTTTTTTTTTTTTTGTAAAAAGTTATCTTATGCGTTGAGATTTATGTGCTCGAGATCCCTTCTGACTTGTTCCCTCTAAAATTTAACAGGCTTTCTAGCTCCAGACATGCTGACATAAAAATATCGAGCAAATTAGTATTTCATAGACAATAACAAAGTCTTGAAAAATTATAAAAATAATGATGTCACAAAAGGAATAATGAATATATTTATTGGCATAGTTCATACCTAATAATTGTTTAAAATGAATAACAAAAAAATACATTTTTCCAGGTTACGGCGGTAATATAATTCGAGAAAGTGTAAAAGCACGAGCGCCTTGGTTTATAACAGATTTCAAGGATCTAGAGGAAGCTTTATAACTATGGAAATTGAGGTCAAACTTAAATGAACTAATGAAATATTGTATAAGGACAACATGCATGCATGAGATATTTTATAATAATATCCATCAATATTTTTTTAGAAAATAATTAGATCCATCACGTTTTTTGTAAGACAACAGTGTAAAGTGTAAATATGACTGACAGTATTTTTGAGATATTCTCACTCATAGAAAATGCATAGCATCTACTTGTGACTATACTTACGTAGAATGTTGAAACTTTTAAAATTTTTATGACTGGTATAAAAAAAATCGTGAATGAAATTTTTGTGAACAAAAATGAAATAAAACTATATATCGATTAAAATGTAATTACTTTTTTTTAAAGCACTTTCCATACCTTTATACAGCATCTCTGAATTGCTTACTATATTGTACATAAGCAATCAATCATTAAATTTACTATGTGTTGACCTTCTTTACTTATTATTTTATATAAGAACCAACGGAAAATTCTCCCTCAACCATTCAATGCTTTATAAAGCAAAACTANATAAATACAAATAATAAATCTTTTTTTTTTCTTATAACATGCTTATTATTGGACAAGTTTTTTGTTTATTTTGTAAAAATCAATACAGCTTATTAAAACGATGATCACTTTCATGTCCTTGATTATGAGGAATATTACATGATGCTAAAAATTACGTATAAGAGCTCTACATTACTTTTTTTTGTGATCTATCCACTCCTTTATCCTTTTTTTAAGATCTTCATCTGATCTGACCATATCCATGGTCAAAGGAGATCGATTGAATGGATCAGTCTGATCACTAAGTAAATGTCTAAAAAATGTTTTTATTTTATAAGTAATAAGAAATATTAACAAAGTAATATAAAAAAATGATGATAAACCAATTTAATAACTAATTTTTTAGCAGCATCTACCTTGCTATAGTACGACGATCAACAACAGTCTTCGATGACGGTAAAATTACTGGATCAAGCATTAAAGTTGACATAATAGGATCCAAGAATTCATCTGGAGCATCATTTAGACTCTCTTCCTCTTCTTTTTTTTGTAAAGCAGCGTTCTCAACTCTTTTGGCAAACAGTTTAAGATCAGCTAAAATACTGCCTCCTCCAATTCGAACTGAAAAATAGTTAGGTCAAATTATAAACGATACGAGGTCAATTTACAAATATCAGTGGATAAATAACTAAATTTGTACCTAAAACATCGCTAGTTATATTGAACAATGCTGAGCTGTAGGACCTTCCATCTTGTGATACAGCAAGCGCAAAACAATCATTCTTACTCAAATGAATATATATTTCACATATATTCAAAACTAATTCTGCTGGTTTAAATTCATATTCATCTTGATCCTTGACCTATTAAAATTAATCAGAATTATATAAGTAATAATAATGATGATGGTTATAAAGAGAATACCATTAGGTAAAAGTTTCTGAATTTCAAATTAAACTTTTACATAATTTAAATACCTTTAAATTTTTTTTATTTGGACCAACTAATTGTAAGAGTAGATAATTTAACATTGATGCTATTCTATCTACCATCGTTTGATGGCAAAAAATTGATTTTATTTCTGTTGTCAGGATCTTCAAAGTCTCCATTGTTTTTCTGCCTAAAATATTATCAAACTTTGCTATCATGCCAATATGTTCAAGTTGAAGAGACTGTTGCTGCCTTTCTTGGGGAGAAAACTTTTTCCAATCATCCGAATTTCTATTAGAATGAGATTTAATATTTATAAATGAAAAAGAATAACGAGTGTATCTAAGCAAATGACAGTCATTGCGCACCTTACAGATATTAATTGTTTTAATTGCACCATGTTTGAAAGAGCATCATCAAGCAAAAATACTGCATCATTCATCAAAAGATTAATAAACCTTAGAAAAAGAGGTGGCTTCATAGCTTCCATATTAACCTCTGCTTCTTTAGCCAATTTTCTTATGTAGCAGCATACAATTACAAATAATCAGTAATAATTTAAAAAAACGAAATCAAACGTTTTTTTAATACTTACTTAAAATTGTTTCGATGTTCTGGTATTTTCCACAAATATTCCATCACTATATACATTGGCCGACGATAATTAAATTTTTGTTCAAACTGAACACTTTGACCTGTCATTTCAATACTTACAAAGATATTTAATAAATTTGGTACAATCTGGAAAAATTATTAAACAGATGAATACTTTTTCTAACAAATATTATGTCACTCAAGACTGATTCATTATATTCGTAACAATAGAAAAAATTACTATTTCTTTATGCGAATGGGTTAAAAACAGTTGTTGTCTGTGGAATGTCCCAAGAGATTGAACAGATTGCTGATCCACAACCTCATTATTTGGTAAAAGAGCCTCAAGCCCTTCTGCCAAACGAGCTCGTAGATGCGGATTATAAAGTCGGGATGGAGATTTCATTAAAGCTGCTACCTAAAGAAGAACATAGTTTTTAGTTCTTAATATTTATTAGAGGCTATTGCAAATGTTTTAAATATTATTCGTACAAAAATATAGAAAAAGTCACTTAGCAAAGACAATTAATACCTTTAAGTTATACAGAAGAGTTTAGAAATAAATTAAACAAATTTTTGTTTTTATCTTGAAATATAATAAATTACACTGGTGTACATTTACAATTGCGAAAAGTTTCTAAGTAACTAAAATTTTTTTTTTTTAAACTCTGAACTGTAGTAAAAAGTATCCTATCTTAAAAGACCCATGGACATATGACTGAAGCCTTTTTATTTGTTGTGTGATTGGTTGAAACAGGTCAAGTGTTTTTTTTGACAAAATTTTTCAAAGATAAATTGCATTAAATTGCAGAAAAAAAAAAATGGATAAGTTTATCATACAAATATAATCGAAAGTAATGCTACTTGATTTGTTTATACTCTGAAAAAGTATTTTTACTAAAAACTTTATTTGATGAGAGGTATGATGAAATTAAAACGGCATTTTCGGACACTCCTTACGTTAGTCATGCTATGTCACATACATTTTTTTAGAAAAAATACTTTTAAATTATAATATTTAGAGTGTTTGTGTATGTGTTTAGAAAAACAAAAAATATAAACAAAATTAATTATTCCTTTTGTAGTGTAGTTATCTTATTGAATAAAATAAAAGTGGGTATAAAAGTAGTCACAACAAGTCAAATCGAGCGAAGTACGTCTTACATGAGAAGTTTTAAATAGAAATGCGTGTTTTTGAAATCTATAAGAAAAATTTTTTCAGGACCGCAAGCGGTTCTGTACTTTTGTCTTTGCAAATAGTAAAAAATGAGTTTTTAGAATTATTCTTTAACTAATAACATTCGTTATAATTCATACTGAAAGATAAAATTAGGGTATAATGTAGCTTCACCAGCCCTAAGCTTCCAAATTATTTGTAGTAACAACCAATGCAAGAAGAAGCTTAACCCGACCAAATAGCGGGCATGCACAACTGAAAAGTTCAAGACTACCCAAAACCGCACAGAATTTAAACGGCAAAAATCAAAAACCGCTTCTCGGATCAAATCCACAGAACGCAGTAAAATAGTTGAATAACATAAAATTTTACATGTACATTTCAAGATTTCTCCAATCCCCCCTTTTCAGAAAGCTTAACCAACATAATTTAAGATACTAGAAGGCTATGCTTTTGGAGATTGTCAAGAATGCTCTTTACAATGCTAAACATTAGAATAACAAATGTATTAGTAACTGCAATAGAGTTATTTTATGAGAAATTTTCGACCACTCGATAAAAATAAAATATGGAAAATAAAATAAATTATCCGATTACTTGCTTTTTTGTTGATTAAATAAGGGATTCATAAGACTGGCATATTGGTAAATTCATATTCAATAAAACTCCGTCAATATTTTGATGACCTATCGTCACCCTCTTCAGAAGACTACCTAAGCTTTGAAAAAAAATTCTTTTATATTTAATACCTTATTTTTTCTTAGTATGCTTATTTAGGCTTTTTTACACATTTTTTTTATATTTTTGTTTCATTTTTAATTATGATGTAACTAATGATGGAGCCAAAATACTTGTGTACTGAATCATAGAAGCATTTGAAGTAACGCAAAGTAACTTTTTTAGTTGTTTTGCATTAAATAATAATATATACTCTATACCCACGCAGGGAAACATTCACTATACAACGCAGACAGCGAGTCCAATTTTCCTCGTAATTGGCTACAGGCCTACTCGATGCTAGGCTACCTCAGGTATCTGATGCGTCGTGACGCAGCGGGGCCAAGCCTCTGTTTGGCTTTGATCCACTGAAAAGGAAGCTAACATGCAGGGGGGTGGGGTATTCCATATTAATTTGACTGGTACAAAACATGCATGCGCACGTGTGTGGGTGCGTGTATTTCGCTCGATCGCACAAACGATACGGCACGTATAGCCAGGGAATGAATTCCTCTTGGAGTCAACGGCACATAATAATTAGACCGGGTACAGAGAGAGTCTACGCGGCTAACACGCTTTTCACGCACACACTGCGCTCATCTGGCTCTTTGTAGTCTCATATGTAACCTTGAGCAGATAAGCTCGCGCAGATGGTCTGCCGACAAAAACCCTTGGCCCAGTATTGAGCTGACAGATCGTTCGGTCGCAGGTAGAGAAGAGTAGGAATTAGCACGGTGACAGCGAGGCTATACTTCGGTGACTTGGTATGCGGTCAGCGGACAAGGAACACACGTGTGTGTTCTACCTATACCTAATCTTTTCTGGTTTAATGGGCAAGGACATCTCACGCTAATACTTGTATCGAGACGCATGTCTCTTTTTCCTCGTTATCTCTCTTTCTCTTTCTCTCTTTTTTTGAAATACCCTTGACATAATAAAACAGCTATCAAGTCTCTTGGAGATTGGTAAAGATAATAGCTGACTAGAATACCTTTAAATCAAAACGCTTTTTCTTGACCTTTTACTATCTCTTCATGCCTTCAAGCGTCTTCATCACAGATTTATTGTACGCACCTTTACTGCATTTTTCAGTAAGCGAAACGGCGAGACCTAAACGGTCACCCATCCAAGTACTAACCTCGCTAAATGCTGCTAACCTCGGTGATTTACGGGACTGCGACTCTATCGCGGAACCATCGTATCGGTAACATGTATATATATATATGTATATATACATGTGTATATGGAAAGTGGCTTATGTGGACTTCATGTGCTGCTAGAATATATATATCAATAACATGGTAGAATTATGCTGACGTGCGCATAATTCCACTTTTGTTCTCATAATTCCCCTTACGTACATGTGATTGTTTGCATAAGTATACTCTAGATAAACATGTATACGCATTTATATATACACACTTACAACTAACGTACGGGTATATAATATACTCTTTGGCTTCACTATAGCCAAAATTTGACGCTAGAGAGTTCAAGCTATACTTGTCTCTTGCTAGCCTAAAGTTTGGCCCTTGACGTGCCAAACTTTGAGCCTCGGCGTCCTCACTCTTGACACTGCACAGCTCGCCTACGCACTGAGCGGTGGTTGTACCAACTTTGTCACGAGCGCTGCTATGTTTGCTTTCTTACAGCCTGTATTTATTTTGTAAATGGAACAGTGCGTATTTCGGACCAAGACGTGTCGGAGTCGGTACTGCATTAAATCGAAGGTATTTGAAATCTAGCAGTCACAAAATGCACGAGCTCTCATCGGTGAAAAAATCCTTGCACGCTTAATATGGAGCATTAGACATTTAAAGTGCGTTGATAAAAAATTTTTTATAAAATGTTGGGTAGGATATACGAAATATGTATATCCATATATTTGCAACTTTATTAAACAATGTATACCTTTTTGTTATTAATTTTGAGAAAATGTTTTTCCACAAATATTTAATTATGAATCGTATCCTTTATTGGTATTTATAGCTATTCTTTATTCGTCACCTTATCCTTCCAATTCAGCTCTAGTGCTTACGAATATTTTATCGATAGTTTAATTGTAATGCATAAAATCGTTTTCAACCTTTCCCGTAATTACATTCTCATTTGTGCATGATTCCCAATGGCAGCCAGAACACGGTAAAGTGTATTGAAGTCTATATTTTTTATAGCTGCATACATTTTTATTGCACTTTGAAGAGCAGCAACATGTTATTTTTTTTTAAATGCTTAGGGGAATCAGTTCAGATCTTGAATAACTGGCATCAAACTATTTTGTGTTTGTTTCCAGCCCCACTGTAAAGCGATTTTCTCGTTGCATAGCCCTTTCTGCAGTTGGAGATACACTTTAGCACTGTGCTGTTTACCAGCACTCACAGTAGGTGGAAGTGATTTTAATACAGAAGCGGTTTTGTTCGCAGAAATCTTAAAGTGCATGAATCATAGCTCATTTAGTTCCCTCTTTTCATCTTTGATACAATACAGATTTAAAATTATATGATTACCAGCCATATTATTCGCCGACTACTATAATGTTGTTGATTATCGACCTGTTGTCGATTGCTGTCGAAATAATGAAGTTGATGACTGTCATAATTGTTATTGCATGTACTACAGCTTCACTTAAGATACAAATTAAGAGCATTCTGATAGACACAAGTCGTCACTTTAAAAAAAATGTATGTATGGTACAACGTTATAGTGAAAGAAAAATTTTAACTGTTCACTTCAGTTATAAAATTGTATTATAACGTTATTAGCATTATTAATACGACTATTGAAACTTGCAATTAAATTATTGATGTGTTGCAAGTATTGTATAATAAGTACACTAGAAATTGAAAAAATAGATAGAAAAATTTCTGTGAAACAGTGAAGTAAATAAAATAAATGAGATTGGAGGAAAATAGTGTAGTTAATTTACTGGTTCAAAAAAATAAATGTACATACATACTTAGTTTAATTAATGCAATAGTACGTATTTAATGCAATGTTACGTACTTGAGTTAATATGAATGCAACATGAAAATTAATTGTAAGTATCACGTACTATGACATTCACGTAATCAAGTGTTTATTGTTCTTCAAACGTCAAAAATAATTAAAACAGCACTTGTGTATTTCTAAATGTTTATCTTAGTATTGATTATACAAGTACTGATACAAAATTAATATAAAATAGCACTTAACAAAGGCAGCAGGCACTACTAGCGTTATCGTTGACAAGCATATGAATACGACGTTGCATACCGGATTTTAAATCTTAACGGGATTCTATTTTTATTCCTTTCACTACCACTCCTTTTCGCACAGTTCTCCAACTCCCTCTTCCTTGAGCTCTATTCACAGTCCACACATGCAAAGAACTATACCAACACATTTTCTTCATACATGCGTGTATCGTTTTCTATCTCTTAAGTGCGGTAGCTGGAGTGTGACCTCAGCCAAAAATCAGAAGAACGTTGATTTGAATTTTATCGACAAGATATTTACAAAAAAGTAGTAACATATGTGCTTTAACA